AGCTACCCCCGCCCTGACCCCACAACGTTACACTGCCCTGAGCAAGTGCCCAGGCCGGTTGGTACCCGAGGAGCGCCAGGCTCGCAGCGCGGCAGAGGCACCGACGCGGCCCGGCCCCTCTTGCACAGCAGCTTCACCAAGCTCAAGGACGGTCTCTTCACCACGCGAGGAAGAGGGTTCCGGACACACAGGCATTCCTCACTGCAAGCAGTGCAGCAGCAGCTCTCCCCATTCCCAGGGCGCTGTGAACCCAAGCACAGCTCTGCCACACATCACCTTCTGCTTTGCTTTCAGTCACAACATTCATTTTCTTTCTTTATCGTCCCTCATTTTAACTAAAGCAGAACATTTACTAACTGCTGTCAGCATGAGCCCCTCTGGGGGAAGTATCAGTACATCTATGTTGCCATGAACAATGCACAGCTGGTACTCAACAGTAAATATTGCCTGGTTCTTCAGGGAGCAGTACTACAGTTTTTGCAAACTCTTTAAGTAAAGAGATCCTGTCTTCACCTCATTGGAAAATGTCATTCCCCACTGAGTCTACAAGAGTTGGTGCTCAAAAAAAACACGTGCTAGAAGAAAGGGGAGTCCACACAGAGTCTGCTGGGCTCCCAACAGCACGTCAGTGGGACAAGACAAATTTCTAATCACTGGAAAGTTCATGAGCTAACATATCTCGTGGTTCTTCACTCCAAGCTTCATCTTCCCTTTGGTCCAAATGCAGACAGCTCTGCTGTGCGTGGGAGACTGAGTTTATCCAAGCCCATCCTTTGGGGAACCTCCCCTGCAAGATCAGGCTGCTTCTAGCACCAAGATGCTTTCTGAGGTGTTTTTCAACCTCCATTTTGGGAGGGTAGGAAGCACACATGCGCTTTTTAATGCTACCACGGGTCTGAGGGGCTTCAGAAACTGCCACAAGAACATGGTGTTACCAAGAAAGGTTTTTATTTTTTTTTCCTTGCCAGTAGCTTTGTTAATTGCACAAAAATCGTTTTGTTTTGCCATTTAAACATTTTCACACATCCTATTCTGAATGACAAACGTTAATTAAAAACAAGGCAAAAAATAAAAATTCACAACCTTAATTAACTATAGGATCTATCATCGAGAAAAAAAAAAAAGAAACTGCTTTTCTTACAAGCTTTTCACAAGTGTCACATTTTCTCTTTAAAAAGGAGGGTCAAAAAAAAGAGCAAATTGCTAAAACAGAAATTCTCATAAAAAGGAACTTTACAGAATTGTCAACAATATTAAGACAACATTTACTAGCCAGTTTTATTAGAGCATCTCTCAATCCACGGCTTCCCTCCCACGCTTTCCCTCCCCTCGATCTCAGGCCTAGGAACAGAATAAGATCCATGTTCAGAGGCTACAGAAATAAATATAAGGATCCAAGCGAGACTGCCACTTGAGTCAATCTCAAACAGCATCTGAAACAGTCCAATTTTCACCATTTCCACCCCTGCTCCTCACTTGGGATGCTCTGCTGAGCTCTCGGGGTCTCTGCTCCCGGTGGGGTGTAGCTGTGGAGCTGGCAGGCAGCACCCCGGCCTGCAGCCCGTCCCCTGCCACCTCTTACAGGACAAACTACAGGGCTGACTGGGCTGCGCCTGCCACTGCCACGGGCCCAACTGTCTCGGTTTTGAGGGCTACGGTATTTCTGGGAAATAAAACCTGCAGTGCCAGGATGACTGGGGAGGTACTGCCCCCACATACACGATTCTTGGGATTCGCTATGAAACACACGTCACGAGATTTGGATTTCCTCTTTTGGGCCTATCGCTGGTGGAGGCACCAGTGCGTAACAGAGGGATAACTGCCACGGGCCCAACTGTCTCGGTTTTGAGGGCTACGGTATTTCTGGGAAATAAAACCTGCAGTGCCAGGATGACTGGGGAGGTACTGCCCCCACATACACGATTCTTGGGATTCGCTATGAAACACACGTCACGAGATTTGGATTTCCTCTTTTGGGCCTATCGCTGGTGGAGGCACCAGTGCGTAACAGAGGGATATCCTGGACTGCGTGGGCTCAGGCCCAGCCGCCTCCCAGCCATTCCTGGTGGCCTCCACAGGGAGGGCTGCCCTGACTCTGCCCAGCTCCGCTCTCCTCCAGCTGGGTCTGACACAAGATCTCCCTCCCCAAGCATCTCTTACACAGTAAAACCCATGGTCTCCTCTCCCGTCCCCAAAATCACCATTTCCCCCAGATGCCCTCACTACGCAATCACGGGATTTCTTAACAGCAGTGTTTTAACCAGGGATTTCCAATGCTAATTGACGAGTTCTGCCGGACAGGGGAAAGCGTAAGTATGTCAAAAGCAGGCTAAATGGCTGGTTATCCTGGGTAGTTACATGTGCTTTAATATGAATATCTACATGCAGGATGACAGTTGTACTGCCAAAGAAACGTGTACGTTTTAACTAATATTGTTCACATATACCACTGAGAAACAGGCGAAGTGATGTAACAAGTCTATTACTAGATGTTCACCACAGGACATAATGCATAATACAATATTAGCCCACAAATAATAGTGATCAGCAGAGGTGAAATATTCAACACAAAGTAACATTTACAGCATTATGAATTAGATATCATGTTCCATAAGGGGTATCTGATTAACTTTCTCTGCTTCTTAATGAGGTGCCCCTGAGCGTTGCCCAAAGCAGGATTGGTAAGAAGTCTTCAGCCACAGGAAAGTTTCCCTAAATAGCCATTAAGTGCCTAGAAACATGAAACAGCAGGAGGAGCAGCCCTCAAGGCTTTAAAGGAACATGGCCTACTTGGAATTTGCTTTTTTTTTCTCCTTCAAAATCCCAACCCAAGGGAGGAGATTGTGTCACCAAGAAGCGATTCGAGCTAGTAAAGCTTCTTATCAGCATTTTACTAACTCTCAAATCTAAAATGCAAAGACTAATACTGAAAGAATTAAAAACTCCATGCTTGATGCATATTTAGAGACAGGCATCCTTTGGACTCTCTGTTGCTCTGTCAACATGGGCAGCTTCTCTGCTCTTAAGCATTGGCTATCTGCAGCTCAACTCCTGTATTTCTAGGCTAGAGCTCAGCAGAAGTCTTAGCTCCCATTTTATTTACCAGCCTTTCTAGAAGTTGTATTTGGGTACAAGCAGAGTCACAAGTACAGGGAAAACTTTCATGTTGCACTAGTGATATACTCAGAGCAGTAACACTATGGACATGTATGGAAAATCTGACATGTACAAAGATCACTGATCAGTACACAAAATACTCCTCTGAGGTAGGTAATTATCACCCACCTTTAAAGATGGGGAAACAGGTTAAGAGATAAAAAGACTATGTAAAGGCCAGAGAGAGCGCCTGGATTGGTGCTCAAACTCTTGGCTCTACAATCACTCCTCTTACCCCTCTTAGTCTCATCACCTTGCTTGTGACACTGCTACACTCCAGGAAGCCGTTGTAAATATTAACTATGAGGGTACTTAAAAAAATTAAAATAAAAAGCAAGAGGAAATTAACATAAACTAAGGCCCGGAGCAACCTTAAGGTTCGTTCCCTCACCAACCAAAATACCCCTGGCCTAGTTTTAGGCCGTACACTTTTCTTACGGTTTTCTAGGCAAACACACTAATCTCCAATACTGTTTGTGGGATGGGCAGCTGTGATGAACTTTTTAGGAGGCTACATTTACAATGGCGTTCTCTCATTCTCCCTAAGGACTGTGTTCCCTAAGCTAAAGTTGTCTGTACAGGGGAAGACGTGGATGCAATCAGTTCTTCCCGTCAGTATGAGGGAATTCCTCCATCAAGGTGCCAGGGAGATGGAAGTTTAAAAAGGAAACAGAATCAAGACAGCATTGCATGCAACCCCAATATTACCTTCTGGAACTGCCCTTCTCCTCCATGGGAGGTGCTTTGTTCTCTAACAGTGGGTGATGAACAGGAATGCTCCTCACCTTAATTGGGACCAAGGCTTTTACTGATATTCACAGGTAGATGGGACATATGTGACCTGTCCCCTTGATGCAGAGAGTCCAACACACACATTATTTCACAGCAAAGGAGAAAAGGAATCATTAGAAACAGCATCTTGGACAAGCATACAAAGAGGAAAACAAAAGCAGCCAAGCAGCAGATTTCTGGCAGAGTTGCCTCAGAGCTTCTGAACAAGCCGCCACTGTCCTGTTCCATGACTGTCAGTGCATGGCATGGATTTTCTAATCAGAGCGCAACAATCCGAGCCCCCTCCTCCCCCCCGTTTGCCACCAGGGGAAGGTCACCGCAGCAGCTGCCTTCGTGGCAGGTCTCAAAGTCTGTGTATAAAAGGAAATGGAGAGACAGAGATGGACTGGTCCAGAGTTAAAACCCAGTATCATAATAATATTAATCAATAATCATAGTATTAACAGTAAGAATGGTGCAGCCTAGTGGATGTAGGCCCTGTACACTGCAGACATATCGTTGTCCGATTGGTCCAATGCTTTTGCTCGTTTATAGACCTAGAGAAGAGAAGTTGGAAAAGGATCAGTGACTAAGCTCAGGGGGAAACTTTGTCTGGCACAAATTATTTTGCAGACCATTGCAAACAGAGAACTGTGTAGTATTCCAAGCCACTAGAACAGCACAGATCAGAACATGCTGGGCCTTGTTTAGGCCATCTGTGTTTGCTGAAGGTGACATTTTAAGGGCTTCCACAAGTACATCAATTTCCTTCCCTCCTACCCAAAATACACTACAGTCCCTGCTCCCATGTCTCAGAGACCAGGCTGCTCTTAAATTTTGTCTCTTGTTGGAAAGCGGCTCTCTACCCACTGAGGAAACACTGCATAACATACATCTCAACACTGACTCACCTCATTGGCTGCAGCTGCCATGGGAGTTGGGTGGTTGACAGAATCGCCCAATGCAATAGCTAATCTAAGATCCTTCTGGATGTATTTCAGGTAGAAATCAGGCTTAAAGTTTCCTTGCAAGATATCTGCAAGAGACAAGGGGGTGCAAAAAGCATGATAAAAGTAAATCAAGCCTAGCACACTGAAACAGCATGTAAAACACCATCAAACTTCCCTTTCCCACCAAGAACATCAAGAATGCTACTTCTAGCTCTTCTATTTCTCTGCTGTCTCCGCCCAGCTGCGGCAGACAATGTCACTATCACCCTCTGACAAAGTGAGCTCAGATTTCCGAGGAGCTTGCCCTCCATTTCACTTATTATCCAGCCCCAATGTCAACTCAAATTGTCAGCCTGCTGGTGGCAATGCAGAGCTTGGGGTGTTAGATTCCCAGAAGCCCTGGCTGTAAATGGGGAGGAAGGAAACTCAGTTCTTCATTTCCAGAATGCTTAAAAGACCCATAATCCCAGGCTGATGAAAATGGGATGGTTACCTTCTTCCTTCTACTATTAACTGAACTTTCCCTAGGTTGCAGCAAATGTTTGTATAATAAAACAATGTAAGATAACTTTACTTTGGCACTTCTGGTCCAGGAAGATGCTGGCAAGTTGACCCTGATTGAGGATATCCAGAAGGGTCTGTTGGGACTGACCAGTTACTTGAGCCAGAGTCAGTCCTTCTGCTATCGTAGCCATGAAGCTGCCTTGGACCATGTTCACAATAAGCATCATCTTCGCGGCGTTGCCTACTTCACCTGTGAGTGAGACACACCATGGGGCATTCCTCCAGAAGAAATGCAGCAGCCCTGCTCCCCCATCCCACACAGCATTCACACTACTAGGCTCTGCGTATTGTTCCCAGGCACTTGGTAGCTCTCCCTTCTCCCAAAAGACCTCAGAAACCTTGCTCATCTTTCCAAGCAGCTAAGGGAAGGGAGAAACAACTAAGTATGATTTAGAATAAAAAGCTTCACGTAAATCTCCAAAATTAGTCAATATTTTAAAAAGAAAACGTAGGCTAGAGGCTCTGAGGTTGGCCAAACTCCACAAGTGCAGGCCAGCTTCCCATACTGTCTATGGAGATTGCCAGCCCCTCTTACCAGTGGCTTACAAAGATGATATGTGTACCTCCCATACTCCTTTCTGGACACCTCATTCTTGTACTAAGAAACTGCTATCAGATCCCTGGTGTTTCAATTACCTAGAAAAAAAGAGGTCTTCCCCATTGCTTGGAAACAGCTACTGCAGTCCTCATATAAATCCTTGTCACCAGCTGCCAGGATCACGAGCATTCCATCGTTAGACAGCTGCTGATTTCCTGACACTGGTGCCTCCAAGAAGCGACCGCCCCGGGAAACTATCACCTGGAAAAAGAATGTCTCTGTTTAGCTGTGCATAAACACCAAGCATCCGTGCTAAGCAGTCAGCACAGCAAGAACATTGTTTAGGCATTCCTACCCCTAAAGACAGAATTTTAAAGCAGAGCAAGGAGTTCAGGCATACAAACAGGAGAGTGAAGCACTGTAAAATACCTAACAAATAATGCACCACATCCAGCAAAGGAAAACTCCAGACCAAAAGCTGCTCTCACTTTCCAGAGCACCAGTAGTTCTCTGCCCCCCATCATTACCGTACATACATATTTTCAGCAGATGAGCCTATATGTTCTTGCCATTGCAGCCTGTAATAGCCGAGGAACAATGCTAAAGGTGCACAAGAAGCATGCGAATCTCACATTTACTTTTATTATCTTCCACAGAAAAAAGGCCTCTGACACACATCTTCAGTCAGAGATTTACTAACGGACATGACTCTACATTCTTCAAATTCATATGTTATACACTCCTGCATCACAAAATTGACAGTCCTACCTGTTCCCCCAGAACATATACTGCTTTTAGGGCAGAGAAAAGCAATTAAGATGTCAAAAAAGAAATCAAAGATCTCCCTGTCAGAAGAACTCAAAGAACTTTTACAGAAAAATACAGAAATATAGAGAAATCTTCTCATAAAAATAATTCTACAGAATGAAACATGAACACACTCATTTCCCGCAACTAGAACATTTGAAATAAACAGAATATGGATTTAAGACAATTACTCATCCAGACAGTACTTCCTCTTCCTATTTGCTACAGAGTACTAATATGGCTGTAGGCTTCAAGTTTCTCTGGCTGCTTACAATGGTGCCACATGACACTTCTGAGAAGTTTACCAGCTTTGCTGTTACTATCACAGTATTTATCATTCGGTTTCGTTCACTGGACAAATTTTGAAAATTTACTTTGTTTCATTCGCCTGAGACTTGAGTTCCCTCTAAAAGAATCTGGAGCATCTTAAGAGACATCTGTATTAATTGACAGTTAAGTGCCTTGAACAACAAGAACTGCGACACTGCTGTTATATCACAAATATTAGAAGTTTGGTCACAAATATTAGAAGTTTGGTCCAATATTATTACCTGGGCCAGCTCTGTGACTGTATCTGCATCCACAGTGGACATATCCACATAACACTTCCCTGGGCGAATCCCCTGCAACACTCCACTCGGACCAAGTACCAGCTGTGTGGAAAAGAAGAGCAAAAGAAACTCCAATCCTACAGGACAGCAGTTCAAGCAAGCCTGACACTGCACTAGAGGAATATCAAAACTGTCCCCTCAGGTATTACTTCAAACAAGTGGGATTTGAGGGTAGTAAAGGAAGAGGGAGGAAGTTTACTTTTACACAGGTGCACTGCTCAGCATGCAGATGCCAAGTCTACCATGGTCAGTAGGATAAGAAGGGGCATTCAGGGACTGCATGCTGCAGTCTATCTAGCAGAGGGAAAATAAGAGCTAATCCTTACATCCTTTGCTGCCTTGGGATCTGATACACAGGCAAAGGTGATATCACAGGTGGAGACAACTTCAGCAGGGGTTCTTCCCAGTCGTGCCCCCTCCTGGATGAACAAATCACACTGCAAAATTCATAAATCCAAACGTAAGGAAAACGATGTACAGAGCAAATGGGTTCCCTAGTGTTCTTGCTGTAACAAAAACTCTTCTGGCTGGACCCAAAGTAAAGTGAGTCAGGCCTGGCATATTAACTATATAATAACTTATTTTTTTGTTTGCATACCCCTCCAAAAACAAGGTCTCCTTTGACACTTTTCTGAGTCCCTAAGTGAAGAACTTAGGAAGAAAAAGAGATGGTTACTCAGGAGAAATCAGAAGAGATTGAATACCACGATTTTTGGAGAAAAAATGAGGAATAAACTGGTAAATAGACACAGCAAAACATGTTGCTGGCCAATAAATAGGAACCTGCACAGCTGAGAGTGGTATGGGTTATAACTTTTCGGGTAGCTCTCTGGTCTCAAACGAAAGGGCAGCAACATGGTGACTTTTCACCTAATAATGACCTTTTCAGGACAGACCACACTAATCAACTCTGGCCATCAACAAGCACTTAGGAAAATATATTAGAACAAGACAATCCTTGTTTTTGTCTTGTGAACAAGGCAAGCTCTGCATTTTCCCAGTATCCCCTCCTAGGGAATGCTGACCCAAGGCCCTCCTGAACTTGAGGTGCTGCATACACACTTAAAAGGTGGTGGATACGTGTTTAGAAAGGCACTGTCTGTGCATAGCTAGAGCACGTGCTTACCTTCTCAGCAGTCCGATTCCAGACAGTGACAGTGTGACCCATTTTCAGCAAGTTGGAGACAATGCCACTTCCCATCAGGCCAAGTCCCAGAAATCCTATCCTGAGGGGAAGAGATAAGCATCAAGGCAGGAAAGGGAATGTGCAACAAAAAGTAACTGATGTTGGCACCATGGTCCTGAAACGATGAAGAACAAATCCTGGAGTATCACAAACAAACAAAAAAAAATATACTGCAGTCACAGCTAGAATAAGAGAATGTTTAAGTCACCCTTTTCAAACAGGCAGATATAAGGCTTTAAGAAAAAGATGGCATTTATTTTGCTTATGAAATATTCATAAAAGTTTCCTGAAGAAAGTGTTCTAGTCTGCTTCAAAAGGCTAATTAAAGAATGAAGGTTTGGGGAGTTTTTTCTAAATTAAAATTGTGCTGTCTTTGTGCTTTCTTTTGTCACCCACTGTCTTACTGAAGAGAAAAAGGTAACATTTGGAGATCAGTAGATGCTTCTCAAATATATCTTTTGATTTTTATACTGAGTCATGGATACAATGGTTGTTCATACTGCTGAACACATCACAACTTCTCTTTTTGTAAGGCCTGGCACAGACTACTGGGCTAAGCATCACACATAGACCAAAGACCTAGTCCCTGCACTGCAGACTTGATTTTGGACAGACACAGAAATAAAGGAAGTAACAGGCCTGTACAGGTCAGCATGAGTGACAATAATCTCAGATATCAGCTGCTCAAGAGTTGGCAAAGGTCTTGTACTGTTTTAAAACAAAACAAAGGGGGAGGAGGGGTAAAAAGCAGAGGGGGAAGAAAAAAAAAAAAAAACCAACCATGAACATACACACCACATTCCTTCTCTATAACTACCCTGCAAGAGGAATTGTTTTGCATCACAACTGCAGGGATCTTTTTATACATCATACAACTTAATAGCAAAAGAAAAAAAAAATTTAGCAGGAAATGTGTTCAGCTACACGTCCGAGTTTACAATGAAAGTTGCCTTGCAACCCCCACAGTTAATTCTTCGGAATTAGCCACACTACAGAAGCACTGTGGCTTCAGCAAGCTGCCTGCACTCCAACTTGTAGCTAGGTTATGCTCTATTTTGTTAAAATAAACTAGGCAGGTCAGAGCAAGTCACTACAGCTCCTTTAGCGAGGTCCGCCTATTTTCTACTCTATCCAACAGAAGAGATGTTTTTTTCTATTCCAACCCACCTCTGAACCACACTTCACTGAGAGACAGTTTTACCTGAATAGCTTCATTGTTATTTTGGTTCCCCTTGAGCACAGCTGAGAATTCGCATGCCAAGAAAACGACCCTAACGGCAAACAGGCCCCGGCCTGAGCTGAATTTGAACAGAGCGGAAGTTAAAGAGTGAAACAGGAAGCTTAACTGAGGCTTCTCTCACTCTAGAAAGGAGAAGAGGGACGTTAGAAGAAACCAGAAGGCTTACGTGCTACGCAGCAAAGCTCCTGTGCTGGGAGAACACGCCTCCCTCTTCCTCATCTTCTACATGCTCGAGATAGCAATTAAACAACCCCAGTCAACTGCCAGACACCAGCGGAAAAAGATACCCTTTTATCTCCCCACTTCATACGGCATTCAGAAATACTGCTCCTTCGTGTTCTGCAGCATGCCCCACAGGAACAGGGCAGCTGCAGGAAAGCCCTGAACTGCAAATGCAGCCGGGCCAGACGTCATGCTGAATTTTTTCTATAGTGTAGCACCTGTTTGTATCTATCTGCCTCCCTCCTCCCATCCAAATCAGTTTCACACAAGGACATAGGAGATCAGCAGTTAGAGAGAAACATTAGGTTTATTTATTCACAGTGACAAACTGGATAATGGCTGCATGTGTGAGATGGGAAGGAGGAAAAGGAAGGAAAATGGCTGAAGTGCGTTGGAGGTCTTACTTTTTGTCTGTAGGTGTGATACTGCCGTTGACTGCTGTGCTGTCTGCTGCCTGGATGGAGGTGGATCCCGTTTCCTGAAAAAAAAAAAAAACCCCATCATACAGTTCTGGAGGAACTGCAAGTTGTTATAACATTAATAAAAATCCACCAAAGCTAAGATTTGCCTTACCTCTTCGCAAACCTTCAGCTTCTTTGTGATAGCTTGGTAGCAGACAGCTGGCTGTATGAAGAGGACAAAACATTCAGGGGAAGGATGGTGCTGATTTGCTCCACTGAGCAAACAGACCCTATCCCTGCTACATAGGAAACAGGCAGCTCACCCACACACCACCATCTGCAAAGCAGGAAAACTCTTAGGCTTTCCTCAGTGAGAGAAAATAAAATCAGAAACATATTGCAAGGTAAAAAGCTTTTCCCTTCCTACCCTCACCCCAGCACTTCAGCCTCTCTTCTGATGCAGGTACTAAAAACTTCTCCTGCAGTTCACACAGCAGACAACTCTAGAGACAAGGGGCCACGGCATCCTCATTCTCACATTTGGCCCAGAGAAATCAGAGATCCCTGAAGTCTATCACAGAGCAACCTCATACCTATGCTCAGTATGTCACTGCAGTTGTAGAAACAAAGTCTTTGTGTTAGTATGAGAAAGCATAGAGCTTTCCACAAGAGGTATGATAAACACTGCTCCTCCCTTGTGTTCCTTGTTGTGAGCTCAAATTAAGACTGACAGCCCCTCAGAATTTACAGTTAGCTGCTCTTAATCTTTCTGGCTTTACCCAGATCCCCTGATAGATACAAATCCTATTTCACTTAATTTGATCTCTTTTCCTCTGGATCTTCACTGGCTGAGGATAAAATCCTGCAAGACTACCAACTCCTGACTTTGTGATATACAGACTGTATTTTACATGGAACTTTCCTGGTCCTGTGAAACTCTTCCACCAGATTCAATTAACAAATTTGCTATGATGAGAAACTGGAAAGACAACTGTACAAGACAACAGAGAAACAGCGTTTTTAAAAAATGCAAATTTCTTACTTCTCATGTTCGATCTACAGAATTTACTATTGCAGGTCTTTCAAATTCTGGTGCTATATAATCTGCAATGACTTAAACTTTGTTGTCCTTAATGCTAAATTATTCTAAACCTCAAGGTTAGAAACTAATTAAACTACAAAATTGCATGCAAGAGAATCTTGTTTCCTCTTGCCCCAGAATTGTTCAACCGGTTACACACACTCCTTGTACAGCTGTAGCCCTTAGTCCCAGCAAAGGGCAAGATGCCAGGCTAGACAGACCAGCAGTATGATCCTGTCTGCCAAATCCTCACCTTCTCCGTCTG